CAAAAAAAATGATACTCCACTATCTACATACGTAACCCGAGTTATTTTGTGTGTATTAGATTATGGACTTCCAATTCAAATTAAATATTGCAAAAATGATATTTTTGGTGTGTACATTTGCAAAAATGCCACTTAAAGGTGTCCATTTGCTAAAATGCCACTAATAATACATTTTTAAAACTTAAATCTTAAAATTATAAACCCTAAAAAATGTTTTGACCCCTAAAATCCTTTAAACCCTAAAAACTAAATCATAATACAACATAGTTAATCCAAACATAAATGATATAATAATTTTTTTTTTTGAAAAAATAGAATTTTTGCAAAGATTTTGAAAAATTGGTATTTTTGAAAAATGACGTTTTTTGAAATTTCTCAAATATCGACATGTAATATTATTTTCTAGTAATGTGATCGTTTCATATATTTGTTTGATAAATATTACAACATTAATGTATAATTTCTTGGCTACATATACACCCTTTCATCAAATCTAAACCCATACGTAAACCATTAAAACATATTTCTCAAACACTTCAAAATATCAATGTATGGTTAAGATGGAATGGAACATTAATTTTTCTTTGTTAAACAACCAAGAAGCCGTGAGACCAAAAAAACCAAGAAGCCGAATTTGAACTTCCATTTTTCTTATTGATTTAGCTGTCAAGCACCCATATGTTTTAAATTAGTTTTTCTTGTCGTGTTTTTGGTTGCGGAAAAAATGAAAAGTATGTAAATCTAACTAAAAAAGATTCAGCTGATTTGTGATTACTGATTACACAAACAGTGTTACATTTGTAATCATCCATGTGGGGATGTCTTCTGCACCACTTCTCTCACTTCCCCTTTCTCATCATGTTTCTTGTTTTTAATGCTTTGTTTAGAGTAAAAAAAAAACCAGCAATAGTGTGATGCATGTATGTATAGTCTAAGTTATTGAAAAGTTCATATTAGTGTGCCTATAAATTAATACTATAATCAAAACATTAGAAAATAAATAAATGTTTTTCCAACAAAGAAATGTATGACTTTCACTCCATTAACTCTTTGATAAAGCCTTAAAGAAAACCATTTCATAACATTTAGGAAACATAGCCCCAAGCACTTCGGATTTTTTGAAAGTCACATGAAAACTAATAATTGTTAGTCATGATCCAAAATTTTGTAGCCTTTCATTAAAACATGTCGTGATCATGATACATGATTTTGTAGTTCATGGAGTGTTACGATTGAGTTGCTCATTGGAGATACCAAAAGTTGCATCTTAAAAAAATCCACTAGCCCCTTATACGCATATAAGCTTATAGAATGTAATAAGTCAAATACATTTTTATTAAAAATAGTTAATCTAACTAATAATTGATTCTCCGAATCAGCTTCGCAATTTCTTTAATTGTAGATCGTTTGTTACATTTGGACCCACCAATTATATAGGTCACATTCGACAAAATACCCAACATACTTAAACTACTTGTCCTAACAATTAGATCTTTGGATTTTACTACATTTTTGATATTTTTATTAATTTCGGTACCACTACATATTAATTTAGACTAAAGTTTGGAGAAATATAAATAGTACTAAGATTCTTTTCCCCAGTCTAGATGAGACACTTTGTCGTTTCACTTTGTTTTCCCACCCAAACTAGAACAATTTTTAGGACTTATAAAATTTCAAAAAAAGCCAAACCATATTCATTTTTTTTTTCTTATATGATTAACAATTATTCTCTATCATGAATAAAACTGTACTTTACATATATTTTTTAAAAAGAGGGAGAGACTTTATTAACTCAACTCTCAAGTGTGAACAGCTAAGGAGGTGGCTTCATAAACCCAAAGTATTCAATAGTGAAAGAAAGTGATATTAATCATGTCACTTAGTTCATACAATAAAGGAAAGCAAACCATTGTGAAAAAAAGATCCAAAACATTATTCAAAATGCCACAATTCTCTATTATCAATAGAACAATCCTGGTTTCAACACAAGATTGTGACATGTTGCTCATATCTTCTAGAGACTATATATATATATATGGGCACACGAAAATTTCCATGAAGAGTCACACAAAAAGTGGCAATCACTGTGAAGCAGAAGAATCCTAAGAGAGTTTAGCATTCGAACCCTTCACCATAAAATCCGGATGCTACGCAGACTATTGAGGATTTCAAGTATAAAGAAGAAGGAGAGTGAATCTGAAGCAAACTTCAAAAGCAAGAAGTGAAAGAGGACAAAAGTTAGAGAGAAGCAAAAAGAGTTGAACAGTAAGAAAGCTAAAAGGAAACAGACACGACCACTTTCTTCTCTCGAAGTTTCAAAAGTACACAGAAAAACATCAAACATACCTGAATAATTTTACTTGGTCCACACTACTCTATCCTTCTCTCTCTCTCTTGTCATTGAGAATCCTTTTCATTTCACTGTCACTAAAGTTTTCATCTTCATCTACTCCGTGAATACTACAACAAGTTGTCGTTACATCAAACAAATAAAATCGGTCCCAGTTTCTCAGAAAACCTTTTGAACTGCTAAGCTTTCCTTTGTCTTGTTTCCCCCAAACTCATCTTTTTTTTTCCTCATAAGAAAAGAGGCTAAAAAGTCTCCATTAGTTTAGCACTGGTGAATACTATACATAAATCAATCAGACAATGTATATATCCGTGGTTGAATACGCTATACCATAAGAAGACAGAGTTTGGCCCCTGTAAGAATCTGTCCACAGAAAAACAAAGCATCCATCAATCAGAGCCGGATTTAGACCGGTCACATGGTCCACTCTATGGCCAAATATCAAGCATAGTTCTAAACAGAAGTTCATGAACTCACCGGGGGGAAACACACACACTGAAATGCCTTTTTGAATCAAGGCCAAGATTATACACAACAACCTGAGTATAAGAAAAAGGTCATGTGAAGTATACAAATATCAAGTTAATAGACACATATGCATGGTCATGAATTAGAGATTGGGTTGTTGAAAGAGAAAGTAGCCAAAAAATGTTGATGTAAAGTGAAAGTTGCTACTATAAAAGGGCTAAACACAGGTATTAGATGGTGGAGTTCCAATCAGCTTCAAGTGATT